GTATTCTGTGATTTATTTATTTATTACTGAAAACAATAACAACATCACAACATTTCGAACAAAACAGTGCTTTACTGAATAAGTTCTAAGTATTTACGTGGTAGGGCCATGCTGCAGCTATGTTATTAGTATAGTTGTAGCACGAATGCGTCGCCTCGACCGGGGAATGACCACGCTCTCACAGAATACCAGCGTAAAATAGCAGCTTAACACTGATGAATTTCGTGTGATGAGTGTAGAGAACTGGAGACTCTTTTTACTGGAAAAAAAGCATTCCATATAAGTACTCACGGGTGACAACGCATCTGCATTTTGATTCTTTATTTAGGTTAAATATAGATGTCTATAGGTCACAGCAACCACTTACCATCAGGTAGACTGTGTGCTCGTTTGTCACCGTATCCTATAAAAAAATATCGTTACAGTTACAGCCTATTAAAATCCACTGCTGAACATAGGCCTCCCTCATATATTGCCTCATAGGGAGGATATTTGCTATAGTTATCACGCTTGGCAAGGGGGTTGGCAACTACAGTTTTTTTAGTTGTTGTTAGAAAGACGTAGCTGCCCTTCTCTTGGTTCGTCTCCCTCTGTCGTCTACGATCGCCATAGGACGATATATGATAGTGGGTATTCTTACACCGCCATTATACGGTCAATTAATTTCTCGGTAGTGTAAATATAATTCCTCAGATATAATTATAAAAATATATATATATATATATATATATATATATATATATATATATATTTATAATTATATCTGAGTTAGTATTAGTATAGTTATTATAAAAATACATATCCTTCAAACTTGAAACTAGGTTAGAGGGAATCATCTAAGCAAACGATCCGTGGTAAATCGTTCTATTAATTATAATAATAGTGCTTTCACTTAAAGGTATGTTCCAATTTTGAAGCGCAACACAATAGGGAAGTAACTTATGAAAGGCCATTATGAATCACAAAAGGCGTGGAATAATTCATTCTTCATCGAAAATTAAACAGAGCCCGAAACTTTAAAGCATCCTAGTGACCATTGTTTAGACAGATACACAAGCACGTAACCACGTTTAATAAATTAAAATTAAAAATATTGTACAACCGACTTTAACATAAATTATTAAAGATAACTCAAAAACTATAGATTAGACCTTAATCAAAGCACCAGCTTTCAAATTATATATCATATTATCATATCATAGCGTCAGTAGCCTAATAGCAGGACGCGGACCGCGAACTCGAAAGGTCGTGGGTTCGAATCCGCCATCCGACTATTGTCGTGAACCACTTCTAACACAAGCATTTTAAGCTTACCAGAAGTGGTTAAAGGTAATATTAGTAATGTTTAATAATCAATGTTTTTTTATATAGGATAGGGTGACAAACGAGCACGCAGTCCACCTGATGGTAAGTGGCTACTGTGACACATAGACATCTACATCTATCGTCAATAAAGACTCAAGATGCAGATGCGTTGCCACCCGTGAGTACTAAGATTGAATGCCTCTTTGCCAGTAATAAGGGTCTGCGGTTCTCTACACTCACTATACTAAACATAGCAGCGTTAAGCTGCTATTTTACGCTGGTTTTCTGTGAGAGCGTGGTCCTTCCCCAGTCGAGCCGACCCATTCGTGCTACAACTATACTACTAATATAGCCGCAGCATGGCTCTACCACATGTTATAATCGTTAATAATAATCATCGAAATCGGTTTACCTATAAAAAAGTTATCAGGAAACACACATAAACAAAAAGAACATACAGTCGAATTGAGTACCTCCTCGTTTTTGAAGTCTGTACAAAACAACGTATTTTATGTTATACTAGCGATCCGTACTAGCTTCGCCTGAGTTGAATCTACTAATGTAGCGTTATTTAGATACAAGTCAAAATCCATTTACTTTAAAAAAATATTTTCTACTTTCTCTAAGATTTTTGGATAAAATATAACCTAAATCACTCTTGGAATTGTCCTTTATTTGTTAGTGACATTTCATAACAATCAGTACAGCGATTCCGATGATTAGCCAGGACAAACAGACAGACCAATTTTTTTCAAATGATTATTTAAGTCTTATCTGCATGCAAATAACACCCTAAGCAGTTATTTCGATATTACGTACAAACAACTCAATTTTATTTATATTTGTATGAATGTATAGTACATATAAATTTGTTTTTTTTTATTACTATGTTATTAGTATGTTGTATAACCAAATTAAAGAATTGTTACTTTAACAATTGATATTGGACTTTATCATGGATATTGAGTACCTTGCAGTTTTTAAATATAAAGTCTTCATTTGTTTTTGCCTGAAGTTTAACTTTTATAGGTACAATCGATTTTAAAGTCCTAAGTTGTAGTTGATAAATGTACTGTAGGTGTGATTTGTCTGTTCGTCCGTAGCTACTTAGCCGCAGCCCATAAACGTCTATGCTTGATTATGAATTAAAATGTAGATACATTGTGATCCCTGAAGACTAAAATAGAATACGTCGATACAAGTTAAAAGAGCATTCGCTTCTCTACGACCACATAAAATATAGTAGCACTAAGCTGCTACTTTACACTAGTATTATGTGGGAGCGCGGTCCTTCTCCGGTCGAGCTGACATATTCGTGCTACAACCATAATATAGCTACAACATGGCTCTACCACGTATAAAATAATATATTGTTGTACTATATCCAGACCGCAGTCATTTCTTTTCCAATCCCTTCTTTTGAAGAAGCCTTAGCCACCACTTAAGCACGCACGCAGTATTTAAAACGCTAATTAATACATGCTAAAGCTAAACGGCATACAAATACAACTTTTAAAAATAGACATAAAAACATTTTTCTCATATTATATGCACAGCTCGCTAACGGATAGCAATAGGTATACAACAAATTACCTTATCTGCGGTAACGCTGCGAGACATCTGGCATTGTGATCGTCAAACCGCCTGTCAAGAGTAACTATTAACGCAGATCCACTTCCAACGTCAACAACAAAGGGGTGGAAACTGGCCGAACGTCTGGTTGTCCGATGGTGGAAGGGAGAGGGAGGAATTAAATTATTATCATTTAAATAATGTGCTTGTTATTTAATTGAATTATTTGATTGTTAAGTGAATTATTTGATTGTACTGTGACATCTACTACTCCATATCATCCCGTGGGTGTCGTAAGAGGCGACAGAGGGACACAAATCAGGAGATGGGCAGCAGCATCTACCCAATAACGACTAAAAATGGAAAAACTTCAAACCCGTTTGCAAAGCATGGCTAATGTGGCATGTATCCCCCCATGAGGCAATCTATGGGGGAGACCCATGTTCAGCAGTGGACTATATTATAATAATAATAAGTCAGCCTCTCGGGTGACCTGAGGCGACTGGGACTCGGTGATGGATCGCTCCGAGCTCAAATGCAGAAGGCGGTGCTCCTCGATACCGCCCACATCGTCCGCTGGTTTCTTTCCATTTCCCCCTAACCCTCGGCCGTTTGGTCTCCCCTGCCGAGGGCTTCCATCTGGTTGGATTTCTTTTATTTATATATTTTTATGTAATTATTTTATTGTATTGATTTGATTTGTATTGATATTATATGTTGTATATTTATATTGCAGCACCTACCACCTACCTATTCATTGTTTTATTCCTTTACACCTTTGGTTGCCTGCAAGAGATCGCTATGTAGCGATAAGGCCGCCAAATTGTACATAATGTAATCTGATTTTTGTTATGTCATTTGTATATTTGTTCGTGGTGTACAATAAAAGTATATTCATTCATTCATTCATTTATTCGATAATTTTATTGATATTTATGTATGTTTATTTCATTTTCATTTACAACTATATATTTATACAGCCCAACCAGATGAGAAAACTTTATAGATACCCCATGACAATAAATTAATTCATAAGAAATAAGGTACAAACTAACTTTAAACTACTTTGATAGGTGTACCAGCAACGGTATTTAATTCATAAGGATGTAACTGGAAAAATAACTGTTACTAACCAGTTATGAACAAACTAAAGTTATACTAATATTATTGTTTATGAATTACTAACTAAACGATAAGGACATAATATAATAAAATTTATAAATTCTTTTTATTCTAGGATCTATTATGTGGCGTTATGTAGGTTATTATAAAGGCCTGTATTCAGCAGTGGACTTGTGAAAGGCTGTAATGATGATGTTGATGATTTGGATTTAATATAATCATTTAAGGTTATTTATTTTATAAATTTATCGATTCTCTCAAAAGTAAATTTAAATTTCACAAAAACATATTTTTTGATATTCATGATTCATGTTCAAGCTTGACATATTGCATAAAAAAATAAAATTATTTTTACTAAAAAAAAGTATTTGATGTTTATTTTATCTAGCAAAATGTGTTGACGGCACATTCCGCCCTCGGAGTTTTAGAAGAGAACAGACAGAGAATTCAATTTTGTTTATATGTATAGATATTTATTTACATAACATTATACTATTATACAATATTTTTATCATCATAATACATAACATTAAAATATACAATATAATGGGGTTGTTATAAACTAATTTGCTTAATTCCGCGTAAAGAAAGAAAATGATGTGTCCTGCCCAGTTTTAAGGGTTTTTATTTCTTTACGCGGAATTGAGCGAATTAGTTTATAACAAACCCATTATAATGGATTTCCGCAAAGTAACGCCTGATTCTATTAATTAATATACAATATCACAATTAAGAAAAAATCTAAAACTAAAAACTTACACAAGTATAATAATAATTCACAATCTAAAAATTAACAAACCAGAATGGGTCAAAATGTAATTGTATGTTACTATAAGATCAATTTATCAATAGCTTTACGCGTTTTTTTTAACAAATAAACTAATATTATCTTCTATTAATTTCATTTATAAAATAATTTAAACATAAATTTAAATACTTTTTGTAACAAATTATATATTTAAGCAAAATTTTATCTATTCACTTTTAATTCCGAATATATGCTATGCTCTCGAATTATTTCCATAATATTTAGCAATATATCGACCAACTACTTTCATAGGACGTTCCTGCCATTGTAGTAGGGTCGCTTTGTCTGGTTTCACCTGAAAATAGAAATCATATTAAAAAAGTTTCTATCAGACATGTTTTAAAATGCCTGACTTAGAGAAGAGGACCAAAGGTTCTAAGAGAATGTGTCTTTTTTTTTAATAGGAGAGCGGGCAAACGCTACGGCTCACCTAAAGGTAAGTGACTACTGCCGCACAATGAACAACCGCAACACCAGGGGAACCTGGGGAATTGCAGATGCGTTGCCGGCCTTTTAAAAAGGAGTAGGCTCTTTCCTTAAAGGTAGAGACCTTTCGTAGTCGAGAGTCGTATCGGTCCGGAAAAATCGCTGATGGTAAACTATTCCACAAGGAAGTTGTGCGAGGAAGAAAACATCTTCTAAATCGCACAGTGGTGGACCGCCAATCATCCAGAAGGTGTGGATGGTGTCGGCAGTTCTGCCGCGATGTGCTTTCGTGAAATTTGGCGGCTGGGATTAATCCGAACAATTCCTCAGAGCACTACCCGTGGTAAATGCGAAAGAAAATGCAAGGGGATGCAAGCGTCAGTGAATCGAGCCGATCGGTAAGGACTCGGTCGTCGACGATTCGAACCACTCTGCGCTGGATGCGGTTAAGTGGAAGGAGCTGGCACTGAGGAGCTCCAGCCCAGAGATGGGAACGGTATTCCATGTGAGGTCGAACCTGCGCCTTGTAAAGTTGCAGGCTATGTGCCGGCATGAACTACTGTCGCGCTCTGCTGAGCACACCAAGCTTTTTAGAGGCCAATTTAGCCTTCTCTTTCAAGTGACCACGAAACTGCACACTATTCGATATGTCGACACCGAGGATTCCGATGCGAGCTGAGGTAACAAGGGGAGTGGCTTGAAACTGAGGAGATACGACAAAGGGATTCATTTTAGCGGTTAACGCGCAAACTTGTGTCTTCTGAGGATTAGATTGGACTCGATTTAGTCGCCCCCAATTCGAGACTTTGTTCAGCAAAGACTCGACTTCAGACACAAGTTTGTTCCGGTACTCGGCGACGTATTTCCGAGAATTATTGGCACGGCCGATATATAGAGCAGCACCCGCGTGCTGTCATCCGCATAGCAATGAATGTTACCAGTTAGCAAGATATCATTGATATGCAGAAGAAACAGCGTTGGTGATGGTACGCTGCCTTGTGAAACACCAGCATAAATAGGTTTGTAGTCGGAGCATATACCGTCTACAACGATCTTGATGCTCCGATCTGCAAGAAAGCTGGTGATCTAATTGCACAATTTCTCGGGAAGCCCAGAAGCCCAGAAAGGGCTATCTATGAGTCAGGTAGACCAGAAGATTACCAGCTGTTCGACCCAATGAAAACCGTATTGGCGGTCACTAATCAGCTGGTGATATTTAAGGTACCGCATGAGCTGGTGGAACAAGGAGGTTATGGCGATAGGCCTATAGTTAGACGGGTCTGAGCGGTCGCCTTTTTAAGGGATCGGGTGGAGTAAAGCCGTCTTCCATGATTTCGGGACTACGCCTAAGGAGTAGGAGTACCGGAAAAGACGCGTTAGAACCGGTGTCAACGCCGAAGTACATGTCCTCAGCAAAATTGGGGGGATATCGTCAAGCCCACTCGACTTGAGGATGCCCAGAGAGAGGAGTGCTTTCCGAACCGAGCGCTGTGTGAACCGCACATCCGGCATAAAGCAGTCGCACCGCGGGATTGTCGGCGGTGTGTTCCCCCGTCATCGAGAGTCGAGTTGGACGCAAAGAAAGAGCCTAGCAGATCGGCTTTCTCCTTTGCGGCATGGGCCAGTGAGTCGTTTTCCCTGTGCAGAGATAGAAGAGATGGCTGACAGAAGTTACCTTGGACAGCCTTGGCGAGAGACCAGCATGTACGGGTTCCCGAAAGAAGGCGAACTAGTTTCTCACCAATTCTGCCAATGTTCTCTTTTGAAGGACTTGGAGACGAAATTATACTTCTTTCTGGTGTTTATATCCCGGGAAGTTGAAGCGTCAGCCCCGGCCCGGTAACACTCCTGCTTGTAGCGTTATGCTATTTTACAGGAGCGACTAAACCATGGCTGAGATCTGCCTTCAGTTGGCACCACAGAGAAAGGAATAAAAAGTTCCATACCCTGAAATACCACATCAGCAAAAGAGTTAGTAAAAACGTTGAAATCGTCTGGCGAGAAGCAAACACACCCCCAATGGTAGGATGCAAAGAAAGACCACATCCCATCCCAATCGGCCTATCTATAGTGCCAAACACAGCGGCAGTCTGCAGAAAGCAACCGGGATTTCAGCGTGAGTGGTACCACACTCCGGACTAGACTATTGTCCGAGGAGGCAAGAGGGACGTCAACGGAGACCTGATGTCTGACCGGATGAGAGGTCAGCAGAAGGTCCAACAGGGAAGGTGCATGATCCTCCACATCTGGGATCCGTCCGATGTCCTCTCTGACGTACACGCAAACTCCAGCCCAAGGCATAAAGGAGTGTTCTAATTTGTACCGCGGGTAGGAGAGATATGAAGTATCAGCCGAGGAGGACACCTGCGTTTCAGTCAGAAAGACCAAGGCCGGCTTCACCGTCTCGATATGGTAGTGGACGGCGTTTAGGTTCGATTGAAGTCCCCTAATGTTGCAGAAATTCACGGATAGCGTGGCAGGGGCGCCTTGGTCTTATTGCTCAGTTTGCCCCGAGCAGTTATTGTTTTAGCGGAATTTTGCACCCCCCCCCCCCTCCCCCCAGAAAACGCGGGGCAGCCTGAGCACCCACGCTTAGTAGTGGAGTAACTTGCTCGTGGAGGCTTAGCGTAGGATGATTCACCAAGGGTGCTGTTACCCTCCTGGATTAGTTCCGCTACCATGTTGATGGGGGGAGGGAGGGGAGAATTGGGCCTCCCGCCACCTGCACTCACCAGACGAAACGCAGAAGCAGAGCTTCTACTTCACGCCGGTATTCTGTGAGGATGTTGTACCAACCCGGCTTGAGCCGGCCACTATATCGGATTGTCACCTCAACCAACTTCCTGACAAATGGTAGTTTGACAAACACACGAACAAAGTGATCTTATAAGGCTTCTTCTGAGGTACGGAACCCTAAAAATGTTTCTCTGTTAAAAATTGAAACTCTGTAACGACCAAAAAGTAGTGGTAATATATATATACCCATCTGAAAACGCTGAATTCAAATACAATAGACTGTTAGACAGGGAGAAGCTTGAAAATATGGACAACAAGTATTTTGTGATATGCATGCCTACATTGAAAAGACCGGCCAATCCAGCATTGGGTTGGTTGGCCCATTAACAAATTAATAGATATTATATTTATAGACGTGATCTTATTATATAAATAAATATATATATATATATATATATATATATATATATATATATATATATATATATATATATATATATATATATATATATATATATTAATAAATGTTTTCCTTTACCGCTAAGCTCATGGTAAATCCGCGCTTCAAGTTGCAATCATAGATGTCGGCGGAATCAAAGAAAAATATCCTCGGTGGCCAATCTTGAATAGTGCACAGCACTAAACAATGTGTGCGCAAGCACAGGTGCACTCTCTATTCCCTTACCCGACACGACTGGAGAGAGAGTTTAGGCACAGGATCAACCGCTTTACGTGCTTTCCTATGCACGGAGGTAAAACATTGCCAGCTTCCCGATTCCAGGTGCGAGAATTTTTGACATAAAAACCCACTGACTGCAGATGTGCTTACAACCACAAGACAATGAGCCACTCAACAAAAATCACCATCAGCACGACCAAGACTCATAGAACTATATATACCTATCATTAATTTATAAAAGCTGATAAAAATATTACCTGATCACCTTTCAAGCGATCTAAAAGTGTAACACAAACATCTGCAGCCCTCACTCCAGCTTCATTTGTATACGCAGCAAAAGCCGTGGCTTCCATCTCTATGTTCCTTACACCCATATCGGCTAGTTTGTGTAAAAAGGCGATTTTATCTTGTTCAGTGTAATCGCAGAACGGACCGTCCAACCGCGCTTGCCCTGTGTAAAACGTGTGATTTTATTCGTTCATACATTCATTTATTCATTATTCTATTAATCATTCTTCTATTCATAATTTTTCTATTCATCATTCTGCCATTCATAATTCTTTCATTCGTTCAATGTGTTGTGGGGTCGTCGATAGTAGAGTATACGAGTAGATGTCGACGAATGTAGAAGTGCCAGGGAATTTCCTTGTAGTCTGCGGTGAATCGAGAAGAAGGCAAATAATCTGCGAGAGTAACGCGAAGCAGAGGCGACCAGTAAGGCTTAGAGCCGTGTCGAATACTGTAGCGCAGAGAGTAGTTTGAAGGAACAGGAAGCATTATTATTCCAGTGCTGCGATGAACTTTTGTAAAGCTTTGTGGCGACGACAGCGCTGCCACAGTCTCCCCACAAAAGTCCACTGATGAACATATGCCATCATCCCGAAGGGATTGCCTCATAAGGAGATATTTGCCATAATTGCCACGCTTGGCAAACGAGTTTACAACTGAATTTTTTTATAATTTTATGCTGTCATCTCCTGTTTCAGATTCCCTCTACCGTCACTCACGACATCCACCGCCACTTTAAATTAAAATTTTAAAATTTATTTGTGCTATGAACTCGCGTACTGTAACTTATTGAAGCGATTTTAATTTAACATTTTAAAATTAAAATTCAAACATTTTATCTCATATAAAAGGGCTATCGTGTTCATGAAATGCATTCAGCTATTGCTATAACTACAACCGATCATATAACTACATAGGCCTCCACCAAAGATTGCTACAAAGCACGCTCCTGAACCTTACCGTGTAGTAGCGGTGGAAGAATATCCACTACTCCATATCGTCCAGTGGTTGCCGTAAGAGGACTTTGATCCATTACAGAGTCACATTGTTATGTTTACATACCTCATGTAGTCATTGATGGCATTCACATATTAGTCCCGATCCCGAGTTCACCACATTGCAACTCAGAGCTTGTATTACCGTCATACTGTCGGTCAGTATTCTGTTTGTAAAAGTCTTTCACCTTCCTAGCATCTATTGCTATAGCCGATTTGACAATACCCATACATTCTGCCTGAAAGACTGTTGTGGGTACGAAGCGGTGTACATATGTAGATATTTAGGTCTTTTCCGAGAAGGTTCCAGATCCTACACCTTCATTTGTTGTAGAACCATCCATGAAAACTCTAAGCTCTTTTACACTATTCAAGTCCACTGCTGAACATAGGCCTCCTCCATAGATTGCCTCATAGGAGGGATATTTGCCTTAGTTGCCACGCTTGGCAAGCGAGTTGGCAACCGCAGTTTTTTATTTTTATTAATATTATTAGGACGACGCTGCTGCTCATCTCCTGATTTGTTTCCCTCTGTCGCCTCTTACGACACCCACGGGATGATATGGTGTAGTGGACATTCTTACACCGCCACTACACGCCTACCACCTCTGTATTACGCCTTAATTATGTAAACCTCCTTTACGATATAAGATTTAAGAAGAATTTTTAGTTAAGTTAAAAAAATTAGGAAAGATGGAAAGTAAAAGAAATCATCTTACAGACTCTTTGGGTTAGTTATGGTCTTTATATTAAAAATATGTAACCTCTATAAAAATCGTCGGCGGCCATTGTTCCTCCGATCAATGTTTCGAATCCATCGGCATCGGATATCAGTGACTGCAGCTCTTGACTCAAACGCTTATCGAATATTGAGGGTATTTTGCGAAGTGTACCTAATACAGGCTGAAAATACAGTATCGAGTGAGCTGTAAAACGTTATGCTTAACCGAGTTTTAGAACAAACATATTCTATATAATGGTAACCAGACGTAACGATATACATGCACAAGTACACAGTTACGTGTATTGGATGAATATTATGCGAGTTCTAGACTTGTTGAAGTTATAAAATAGTTTCAATTTACGATTCCAACGTTGCATAAGTTTGTTTGAACGTGTGTATTACACCGTATTCTAGACATGTGCAAAATATATCACTTACCAAAAAATTGTGATACATACACATATATAACTTAGTTATTAAATATATGTATATAACCAACACACGTAACTGTACACTTACTTATTTAGATTCAAGATAATCATCAAAACCATTTATTTTTATTAACTTGTGATTTTTTTAATATATACAGAGCCTATACAGAGTTATTTTGCAATAACCGGCCAAAGTTATAGAGAATGTTCCGAATAAGTAATATAGTAATAAGTAAATGGTGAAGAAAAATTAATTTAAAAAAAATCTCAATAATTCTGTCCTTATTATCTTTTAAATTCAAAATGCGTGGCTTCTACACATTCGTAAGAGTCGATTGGTAGGTAACAATGTTTTTGCCCATAAATCACATTCCATTTGGGACAATGTCAAATAAAAGTAGAGACCTTATTTGCTTTTATTTTCAAAAACTCCAGTAACGGTACATCATTATTTATATATTTTAACTTAAGTTTTAAATTTGGCTACTCTTAGAAAAATAACCCTGTATGATTCCCGGCATTGCTTTCTATGTGTTCGTGAAGTATCATTACAATGGAATCAGTCATTTCGGAGATTAACCTGAACAGACAAACAGACAGACAAAAATTTAAAATACTGTTATTCATGTCTTTATGGCATGCAGAAAAGCTTAATGAAAGGCGGTTACTAAAATATTATTGACAGACACATCAATTTTACAAATAATCAAATGTATGACACTCACTATATTGTACGTTTTCTCCAATGTACCATTAAGACCCCAAGATGAAATCACTACGGACCCCGGTGGTATTTTCAGACCGCCACTGGTGCCTATCCTAAATATTATAGGGTCCTTAGCTTTGGCGTAATAAAGCAGCTTTAGTATCTCCTGAAGAAGAATTGTCATTGACGGGATTCCAATACCGTGCTGAAACAAAAATAATTTTAATTAATATAAAAATTACATTATAACTGTGTACAAACTGTAACAGTGACCCATCCCAGATTTACCTGGATAGAATCTAGTTATACTACGTTATATAGACTATTTATTTTTCTTACGTGGTAGAGCTATGCTGCTGCTATATTATTGGTATAGTTACAGCACGAATGGGTCGGCCCGACCGGGGAAGGACCACGCTCTCACAGAATACCAGCGTAAAATAGCAGCTTAACGCTGCTGTGTTTCGTATGGTGAGTGTAGAGAACCGGAGACCCTTTTTACTGGAAATGAGGCACTCCATCTTAGTCCTCATGGGTGACAACGCATCTACATTTTAATTCGTAATCGAGGATAGACCTAGATGTCTATGGGCCACAGCAACCACTTACCACCAGGTGGACTGTGTGTTCGTTTGTCACCCTTATTCTATAAAAAAAAATATCCCGGAAGAACGACATTTTTTTAACATGCAAATAACCCCTAAGCTTGAAGCCAGTTATTTCAATATTACAGATTTATTTATATGTATAGATTGAATATATTTTAAATAATCAACATTAATTTAAAAGTATACCGTTTAAAAATAAGTTTTAAAAGTTTTACTTACATTTACTGAAAGTACTGGGCCCACTTTGTACATGGCATATCTGTGAGAATGTTTGGTCAAATTCGTCAACTGATAATTCTTTACATCAAGTTCTTTTGCCATGTGTTTTGCAAATTCTTTCATTCTTTGTTTCGTTCCGCCCATACAAACAAACTAAAAAATGCAAACAAAATAAAATATTCCATCCATCCATTACATCCTATAAAAGTCCACAGCTGAACATGGTCCTCTGCCAAAGTTTGCCTCATTTTGTTATAGTGGCCACCACGTTTGTTTTTTTTTTTTTCTTTAAGTTTAATTTTTGTCATATTATTTAGTTTCCCTTTGGCGTCTCTTACGAAACCCACGGAAAGATATGGGGTAGTGGATATTCTTACACCGCCCCAACACGTTTAAAAGAAACAATTAAATAAAAACCATACTAAATAAAAATGAACAGCAAAGTAGCACTGGTACACGCTTTACTTGGATTATGGCATCAGCACAAATGAGTCAGCTTAACTACGGTCGCACAAAATACCAGCGTAAAATAGTAACATATTGCTACTATGTTTCGTATGGTAATTGACGGAAACCGGAGACCCTTTTCCTTTTTTTTATACAATAAGAGTGACAAACGAGCACGCAGTCTACCTGATAGTAAGTGGTTGCTGCGGCCCATAGACATCTACATCTATCTTCGTTTTCGAATCAAAATACAGATGCGTTGTCACCCGTGAGGACCAAGATGGAATGCCTCTTTTCCAGTAAAATGGGTCTCCGGTTCTCTACACTCACCATACGAAACACAGCAGCGTTAAGCTGCTATTTTACACTGGTATTCTGTGAGAGCGTGGTCCTTCCCCGGTCGAGCCGGCCCATTCGTGCTACAACTATTCTATTAATATAGCTGCAGCATGGCTCTACCACGTAAAAGATTTCTTTCCTGTTAACGAGACATTCTTTTTTTGTTCTCGAAGGTGACAACGCATGTTCCTTAATCGAAAATAAATCTAGTATTATAACTATAATTATTTTAACAACAAATAGGTTTTAAGTATACTACTCGTATTTTAGACTTTTTCTGCCACCACGGCGCCACTTAAAAGTGAGGTATAATATTTGACAGATTTCATAGCGCGGAATTTAATTTGTTCGGAAAATGTAAAGGTTTCTTTCTGTACTATTTATATATATTTTATATTAATTACAAATAAATAAACCAAACCACAGATATTCATAAAAGTAGAAAATTAAAAAAAAGTTAAAAATGTGAAAAAATTAAACAGCAAACCACTGAGGCACTGTTTTCTGTATTATTATAATACTCTAGAAACTGATAAACTTTTATTAAAAACTAACTTCTCAATCAAATGAGATTGTGTAACAATAAACTTTACCTCAGTGTCAACTAGCGACATCTAGTGAGCAGAAAATTATTAGCCCTCATTGATTCATTAATACAATTTATACACGTACACAGTAATAAATTATTTTCATTTGTATGCAGTACTAGCGGTCCACTCTGGCTTCGCACGGGTGATTTCTGGATCTCGACAATATCTCCAGCTACCGGGTCCAAATGTGAATCTAAACTATCCACTCCACATACACAAAAAGTTTCATCAAAATCAGTCGAGCCAGTTTCGAGTTTTAGTGAGACTAACGAACAGCAATTGATTTTTATATATAGACTAGCTGATACCCGCGACTTCGTCCGCGTTGCTTACAGACATCACGGAACACGTAGTGCTTATAAAAATCGTTCTTTCTTAAAACTTTAATAACTTTACACTTATTAAATGATATCGCAATATTTTTTTTAGATAAGGACCAAGTGTCTAAAAAATAAAACTTAGTAAACTTAATTGAAATCTATCCAGTAGTTTTTACGTGATGCGCGCACAACTGCAACCCTCCATCATTTTATTTATATAGAAGATAGAGATTATCATTTTTATGCAGTATATTACGCATCTTAACCAACAAATTGTTTATATAGGCCACACCATCGACTTACTATACATAACACAGTACATCTATACTGTGTTTTTTGTCACTCTTATTTTATTTTTAAAAAAAAACACAATTAAAATTCAAATCACTTCACTGAGCTCGATATATTCAACAGATACCTGATTATGTTCCTTCGTTGTATAAATAAATCGTTTGATGTAAATAACCAAATTATTTTTTCGAACGGATAAAGAACAGAAAGCAATTGACGGTTTTCGGGTCACGTGGAAATAATGGAATGAGCTTATTATGTGAATACACAAAGAAAATATATGCAGGGGTAAACGTTAGATAAAAAGGATTTGTGAAAATGGTAACATGGTTGATATAAAACTCGGTATCAAAATAATTTTATACATCAAAATAATTTAATGTTTGGTGGCATTTATTGGGTGAGGTCTTTTCTTTTTTATAAAACTAACAGTCGGCCTGATGGTAAGTGGCTACCACAGTCCATGGACAACTTCATACAAAGAAGGTTCGGATTTATGAAAATGGTAACATTGTTAATGTTAATATAAAACTCGGTATCAAAATAATTTTATACATCGAAAAGATTCCGTGTTTTGTGGCATTTGGTTGAAGCCTTTTTTTATATAAAACCAAAGTGAGCAACGAACTTACAGTCCGCCTGAAAGTAAATGGCTACCACAGTCCATAGACAACTTCATACAAAGAAGGTTCGGATTTGTGAAAATCAAAATAATTTTATACATCGAAACGATTCCGTGTTTAGTGGCATGCCTTAGGTGAGGTCTTTTTTTTATAAAACTAAAGTGACGCACAAACTTACAGTACGCCTGAAGGTAAATGGCTACCACAGTCCATGAACAACTTCATACAAAGAAGGTTCGGATTTGTGAAAATCAAAATAATTTTATACATCGAAAAGATTCCGTGTTTTGTGGCATTTGGTTGAAGCCTTTTTTATATAAAACTAAAGTGAGCAACGAACTTACAGTCCGCCTGAAAGTAAATGGCTACCACAGTCCATGGACAACTTCATACAAAGAAGGTTCGGATTTGTGAAAATCAAAATAATTTTATACATCGAAAAGATTCCGTGTTTTGTGGCATTTGGTTGAAGCCTTTTTTATATAAAACTACAGTGAGCAACGAACTTACAGTCCGCCTGAAAGTAAATGGCTACCACAGTCCATGGACAACTTCATACAAAGAAGGTTCGGATTTGTGAAAATCAAAATAATTTTATACATCGAAAAGATTCCGTGTTTTGTGGCATTTGGTTGAAGCCTTTTTTATATAAAACTAAAGTGAGCAACGAACTTACAGTCCGCCTGAAAGTAAATGGCTACCACAGTCCATAGACAACTTCATACAAAGAAGGTTCGGATTTGTGAAAATCAAAATAATTTTATACATCGAAACGATTCCGTGTTTAGTGGCATGCCTTAGGTGAGGTCTTTTTTTTTATAAAACTAAAGTGACGCACAAACTTACAGTACGCCTGAAGGTAAATGGCTACCACAGTCCATGAACAACTTCATACAAAGAAGGTTCGTGTCGTTTCACCATCCCATTGGACTATGAAAGTGAAGGAATAGAGAGGGCGCCTGTGCTTGCGCATGCACTTGAGCACTATAATCCTGTCCTGCGCCGATGGCTAGTCTCCGTTGAGGCTGGCCGTCATGACCGTAATTCGGTCTGGAGGACTAATGTCTAATATAATAATTTACAAGGAAGGCCATAGAATGTGTTGTCATCTTTGAGGATTAAGATGGAATGCCTAACAGTCTTTAACTATGAGTATACTGGCTCTCTAAATCGGTCGAGTGATTCGTCAGAACACAGCAGTGCAAGCACTACCATTTGGCGACAGAAATAGTTAAGAAGGTGATATCTACCCACACGGAATCCTAGGCAGAATGTAGCCCTAGTCTTCAACGACGGACTTGTAATTATGATGAGATAAAAATGAACCGAAATATTATCAATCTATGTCTGAAGGCTTAGCTAAGTTAGCAATGATTTTTACTAATGTAAAACTATTAATTTAAAACCGTATAAACTTATGTATGTAGATAGTTAATTAGCAGTGGAATGATAATGGTGTTGGGAATGATGATTCCCTTTAGTCGATTTTAATGATATCTATAGGAAGAAATAAGCTTGTATAATTTTGTTCCGGTAAGATATTCGTAGCCGATAGACTTTTCCATCTATGTGATGGTAATTTTTCGTCACTTTTTCATACTTAGTAGAGCCATGCAGCAGCTATATTAGTAGTATAGTTGTAGCACGATGGTCTATGGGTTACAGCAACCACTTACCATCAGATGGACTGTGTGCTCGTTGGTTACTCTTATCTTATAAAAAAAAACAGGGCGGAACACTTAGAGCGCGATATAAGCTTATGTATGTAGATTCATTTGCAGTGAACTTGTGACGAGCTGTAATGATGATGATGTTGGGAATAATGAATCCCTTTAATCGATTTTAATGATAGGAAGAAGTGAGCTTGTAAATTCAATGCCGATCAATCATATGCGTTTATTGTAGCAGCTAATGGACCGAGTGACATCATCCAAGATGCCAACAAGTGACTGCTGTTTGAATTGATTCTTAGTTATTGGAAATTAAATATTTTATTTCATGACACTAACGGGGCGTTAAAAGTTAATATAATTTTTTCCGTGTGATGGAAGTCATGATAAATAGATTTATACAATAAAACAACCATGTATATTCTCTATTATTATATCGAAAAGCATTTAAAACTTAGTAACCTTCAACAACATTATCGATACTTTGATATCGAAACGGTAACATTCCTAAAACGACTTTATATTTATTAGCGTCACCTACTGAGGAATACCTAAAATGTATTGTCTTAATAAATGCTTAGCATTGTTTTGCTATTTTTGGCTAGAGGGCGCCACACGCGCACTAGCTCAAAGTTTTTGTATATAAATATTCCCAATGCCCGCTCTATAGTAGACATGTATATATATATTACATGTCTTTGGGTACAGGGCTCACGACCGCAAGCTTATTTCTATTTACAAATAGGAGTAAGAAATAATCAAAATATTTTTATTTCAAATATATCTTTACAAATAAATGTACCAAAATATATAACCTACTTTGACATCTCCAAACATGGCTGACAGATCGTAGTGAAATGTATCAAAGCCAAGATGATAAATAACATCGCTGTCCAATTTTGTAAGGTTTTCATTTAGAAGACGGAGCGACCCGTCACCATTTCTGGAAGAAAAACAATAAACGTTATAAACAGAACAATTTTTTATTTATATTTGTAATCTACCCAGGGCATGTATTATTAAGCAACGACTCGGAACATGTAGCTAAACATGCTGCGTGTTATGGTGAACAATATTTTTAACAACGTTGGCTGCAAGATGACGTCATCTGTAACATCGCGTGCTGTGTCTAATATGTAGATCGTCACGTTTTGTGTGTCAAATGTTTTTGAAGTTATACTTCTTTTGGCGCGTCTGAGAAAAATGATGAGAGTGAATTTCTTACGATGCGCGCGCACGGCGACACCTTAAAACGACAGCGTGAAGTTTTTACGATGCACGCGCACACGTAGTTGCGTTGTTACCCCTGACGATTTAAATAGAATTTCTCGTTACCAATCAAAAACGTAAAAAGGGTTTTCAATTTATATGTAAGTGGTTGCTGTGACCCATAGATATCTACATCTATTCTCAAAAAAGGCTTAAAATGCAAATGCGTTGTCACCTGTGGGGACCAAGATGGAATGCCTCTTTTCCAGTAAAAAGGGTCTCCGGTTCTCTACACTTGCCATACGAAACACAGCAGTGTTAAGCTGTTATTTTACGCTGGTATTCTACGTTTGGTTCTACCTCACGATCCTTTGTACATCCATCTATTAAAGCCTAAAAAAGTCCAATGCTGAACATAGTACCTCCCCATAGATTGCTTGATCATATAGAAATTTTTTCCAGGTGGTCATGTTTAGGTGACTTGACAACCGCAGTTTATTAATATTTTCGGTTACACTCGTGTCGCTTTTTACGACCCCATGGGACGTCATGGGTACTGGTCTCTCTTATGCTATTTTACGCTGGTGTATTCTGCAAAAGCGTGCTCTACCAAAATTCTTATCGACAAGCAATATGATATTTAATCTAGTATTAAAAAAATATTTTGATAATAAGTAAAAACAGACTTTCAAATTTAAAAAGTATTAAAATAATTTTGAATTTATAGATCAGTATACAAAAATCAAAGCCCCGATATTGAAAGTGCAATTTATTTAATCTTTTCAGTGAAATAAACAATATCACAAGCTGAAAGTAACAAGAGCAAGTCTTATCCGACTCTATTCCGATGATATCCCGGACGTCAGTCTGAGTGAAATTAGAATGGCTCTATAGCACATTAAAAACGGCAATGCCCCAGGCGAGAATGGAATTACAGCGGAGCTTCTGAAAGGGGGTGGGAAACCGGCACTTAAAGTTCTTCAGAAGCTCTTTAATTCCGTCCTCTATGGTAGCACCGGAGGCGTGGAGCCGAAGTACGGTGGTTTTGTTCTTCAAGAAAGGTAACAAAGCTCTCTTGAAGAACTACAGATAGATTTCCCTTCTAAGCCACGTCTACGTGCTGTTTTCGAGAGTCATTACGATTCGTCTCGCATGCACACTCGACGACTTCTAGCCTCCCGAACAAGCCGGTTTCCGAAACGGCTTTAGCAACATAGACCACATATATACCCTTCGGCAAATTGTACAGAAGACTGAAGAGTATAATCTGCCACTTTGCATAGCGTATGTGCACTATGATAAAGCTTTTGATTCCGTCGAAATTTGGGCGGTGCTGCAGTCCCTTCAGCGGTACCAAGTGGACTGTCGGTATATCGAAGTGCTAAAGTGTTTGTACAGTAGAGCTACGATGGCTATCCGAGTACAGAAAAAGAGTACGAAACCTATCCAACTACAGAAAACTGTAAGACAAGGTGACGTTATATCCCCGAAACTCTTCACCGCTGCATTGGTAGACGTTTTCAAGCCACACCTATGCCGGTAGTTGTTGGAAGCACTAAGCTCGAAGTTGTTGACGAGTATGTTTACCAGGGATAAATAGTCCGACTAGATAAGTCCAATTTCGATCGAGAGGTCAATCGACGGATTCAACTCGGTTGGGCAGCGTTCGGGAAATTACAGCACATCTTCTCATCAGATATACCTCAAAACTTGAAAACGAGACTGTACAACCAGTGCGTGTTGCCAGTGATGACTTATGGAACTGAGACGTGGTTCTTCACTGCTGGCCGGGTGAGAAATCTCAAGGTCGCTCAGCGAACTATGGAGAGGGCTATGCTCGGTGTTTCTCTGCGTGATAAACTTAGAAATTAGGATATCCGCAGTAGAACTAGAGTGACAGACATATCCCAACGGATTAGTAAGCTGAAGTGGCAGTGGGTTGGCCATATAGCTCGAAGAAACGACAACCGATTGGGAAGAAAGGTTCTCGAGTGGCAGCCTCGTACCAGTAGGCGAAATGTATGGTGACCCCCTACTAGATGAAGTGACGACCTGGTAAGATATGCAGGAAGTCGATGGATGCAGGTGGCTCAGGACCGTGCTTTGTGGCATTCCTTGGCGGAGGCCCATGTTCTGCCATGGACTTGTGAAGGGCTGTAATAATGATAATGATGATGAAGGTAACAATTGAAATGTTGTCTGAATATATGTTTAAAATATATATAATCCCGCTGGGTTTCTTGCTAGTTTTTTCCAGGACAGAAGTATTTTCCGAATCAGTGGTAAATAAGTTTCCTTATCGTAGTAAAACCACAGAATAAATAATAGTACAAGAATCAAAACAATTTTCTAGTAGGGGAGCTCTCTTTAATTTTTAATTTATTTTTATTATTTGTTGATATAACGGCATCAGAAATGTTTTTCTTTGAAAATTTCAACTGTCTACCTATTAAGGATTACGAGATTCAACCCGCTAACAGACAGACGGACGCACAGCGGAGGCTTAGTAATAGCTTCCCGTTGTTTGCCCTTCGGATAAGGAACCCTAAAATGACTTTCAATAAGTATTATGCTATAATCTATATTGAATAAAAAATATTCTGTTCTATTCTACTTTATTCTACTCTCGTAACTATTTAGACTTGAAAACAGCTTTGCCACCGGCGAGGCGAGACTAGAATAAAAATATCGCCGTGCCATTTTGACCAAAAATTGTCATTAGCTATCTCGAGCGAGCCCATTATTATTAATAGATATCGGACTGAGATTGTGAGCTACGTATTGTGAAGATACAGAAATAATCAGTTTGTATTGCGATAAATATTGAATGACTCGTTGTTTAGTTATATCATTAATTTAGATAAACTTCTTAGTATGTCAATTATTATCGATATATAAACAAACGCCCTTGGCCGTGGGAGCACAGTGACAGTGCCGTCCCACGTACTTAAAATTACATTATTTATCAATTAACCGTAATTAGTCCGGTCAAGTTTATAAAAATTGGGTTTTAGGTCTTAAGGTTACAATAATTCACATGGAGCTAAAAATTTATACAAATATTAGGAACACTACTACAAATGAATTGTAAAAAGTTATCATCAATCCCACATCTGCAAAAAAAATTGAAAGTCAAAGTTCGCAAATATGGGCTTTTGCATTTTTCTGCTAAACAGTAAGTTTTATCATAAAAATAGTTAGACAAAAATTGTATATCGTGCAATCATCCATATAAGTGATTGTTACTTTTTTGTCTAAGAATCACCATTTCTGAGAATAGCGATTCAAAAAGTCGAAACCTAACCTTGAATGTCTTTTTTGACCGGACAAGAATTTATGCTGTGCAAACATCTAATCAACAAATCCAAGCTATGTTAATTGTTTGCTCAGTCCCGAACTCCGTCAAACGTTTACTCGTGAAGTTTGATCAAATATTGGACGTTATGAACTTTAAATACGAAATATATGTGAATAGCGGACACTGAATAGTTTACAAAAGACCTTTATATATGTGTAGTTAGAGTCAGTTTTCCTTAAACTTTTTAGCTGACGTCCAAAACAGACGAAGGCTTGAAGCGACAGTATCATATCACATTTATTTTATAATTAACAAACGTGCACACAGTCTACCTCATGGTAAGTAAATGCTGTGACCCATTAACACCTACACCTATCCTCGATTAAAACTCAAAATATAGTTGCATTATTACCCCTGACGATTTAAATATAATTCCTAGTTACCAATCAAAAACATGCGTGAGTGTCGAAGAACACTTGGTTGAAACGAAGTTCCTTTTGTAGTATATTATTATTAATAAATTAACGTATTATATTACTGATTAGCAAATGAATTACTAGCGTCTATTAAAATGAAGTTTCATATAAAATAAAATAATAATTCTTTCATGGCAAGATAAGAAAAAGGGCGAGTGAGATGTTAGATGTAGTGGATATTATTCCATCTCGCTTCCTTATAGCCGTCAAGGCCGTCTACACTACGTCAGAAGGGGTAGTGACGGAAAAATCTTACACTTTTTCTCGCCCAGCCCCCATCCGCCAAATTCGTACCGTCCGATAAGGAACTTCGTTCCTAAAACTTAAGAATGGTCTCCGTTTCTTTACAATAATCTGCAACAGACACAGCACAATAAGTTGCTATTCTTTAAGAGCGTAGGCCAACCTGAACTGAGCCTACCCATGCGTGCTGCAACCATACTGTAGAGAGCAGCCAGGTTCTACCACTTTAAGATTTGTTGTTGTTACCTCCGACGTGATTATCTCAGATTCCTGGCCGCCGCTGCTTCAATGGGGCTTATTTAACATTACCGTTACCGTAGCAGGCTATCGAAGTCCACTGATGAACAAAGGCATACCATATACATTGCCTCATAGGGTAATATCACGCTTGGCACGTGTGTTAGATATTAGAAACACGCTGCTGGTCAACTCTTGGTTTGTTTCCCTCCATCATCTTTTTTTCTTCTCTTTATTTGGATCACCAACAGACGATACACAATATTAACAAAAATATAAGTCAACACTGCGACTACATGCTATGTTCATCTTCTTACCGGTAACCACAACTTACATAAATAGCGAAGTGATTTTTTTTAAGAAAAAAAGAAACAGATAATTATATGCCAATAAATATACATGGAAAACCAGATTTGACATAGCTACAGTTTGTGGATTTAATGCTTACAGTCTATATAATATTAATATTAAATCTACTAATCTATTACGACATTTACGGGAGACGATATGGGATAGTGGATAATCTTACACCGCCACTACACAGTTTACTCTTCTCTACAGTTTAGTAGACAGAATAATGCGATAATACAATTTGCCACGCATACTTACTTTGGACACGCAGCGCCTAAATATCTTCTCCAAACTAAAGAGCAGTTGTTATAATGTGGTTCCCATTCCTTATTATTTGGCAGGATGTAATCACAGTCACACGACGTCATGTCTGGCTAAAATAAAAAGGATGACATCAAATTAAAAAATCTGCGCTCGAAAAGCTATGTACTTTTTGTTATTTTTTTTGTTTTTTTTTTTTTTGAAAATCTTTGAAATAGACTTGAAAATCTAATCAGCTCGACGTCTCAATGAACTCTTTCGAACGCCGTGTCGCCCATCTAGATAGGTTGGTTCGTTCTAAAGATATCGTACGACAAAATTTTATTACACATACATTATTATAGATATATTATATCAGTGATAGTACAATAAACACGTGTTCATTTAATTATATGCTATGTAATTTGTGTTGAGTACAATAATCTAAATATGGATTATCTATGTTGTGAGTTACGACGCGCTTGTATCATAATATTAATTAATTATTTATTATTATTATATAATAATAAATAATTAATTATTATTATATAATTATTATTATTATATAATTATTCATCGCGGCAGAACTCCCGATACCATCCACACCATCTGGATGATTGGCGGTCCACCACTGTGCGATTTAGAAGATGTTTTCTTCCTCGCACAACTTCCTTGTGGAATAGTTTACCACCAGGGATTTTTCCGGACCGATACGACTTAGGGACCTTCAAGAAAAGAGCCTACTCCTTTTTAAAAGGCCGGCAACGCATCTGCGATTCCCCTGGTGTTGCGGTTGTTCATGGGCGGCGGTAGTCACTTACCATCGGGTGAGCCGCATGCTCGTTTGCCCCCTCTCCTATAAAAAAAAAAAAAAAAAAAAAAATTTATACATGAAAATTGTATAGGTAGTGGATTCTCGATAACTCTAATTTCAAGGGAAATGCTTAAAATTTCGAGTTATTGAGTTTTGACATAACAAAATTTTCGATAAAATAAATAAAATAAGATTAAAGATGTGTTACTAAATAAGTTTAATGAATGTATTCCTTTACTGCTCGTCTACAAAGTACACACTACAGAACAGAAGAAATAAACATTCGTCCATATTTTCCTAACTTCGACTTACGGAGTCTACTTTTGAAAGTAGAGATAGTTATAGAGTACTTATGTAGTGTCAATACCTCGCAACTAAATAACATTTTTTTTTTCATGTTACAAAGGCTAAATAATTCGAGATACCGTGAATTTAGGGGTTCTGCGGAAGGTCTTTCTGAGGCTTACGACTTAACGAGGTTCGAGTTATCGTTAGCATTTTGATTCGTAATCGAGAATAGATATAGATTCTGTGGGCCACAGCAACCACTTACCATCAGGTGGAGCATCTGTGTGCTCGTTTGTTACCCTTATTCTATTTAAAAAAAACTTTAAGAATCATAACGCCACTGCATTTTCACCCTCGAGGACTAAGATATATGTTCTTGTCATTTGCCACGAAACACAGAGCAACATTACATTTATTTAGCAACTAGCTGTTCCCCGTGACTTCGTCCGCATCCAATTTAGGGTTTTAATTATGTTGCGCAGAACCCTAATTCTTTTTCTAAAATAATAGCTGTGCCCCGCGGTTTCACCCGCGTACATCACGCGTCTGCGCCTTGCGACATGCGAACTTCGAGAGAGACATCACGACGGACGGTTGCTGAATTAACAAAGATTTAAAATGTGAGATATGTCACTAAAATTACATGGTTAACGTAATTGATGGTTATGCATGATACAGGTACTGATACGAATAATGTGGCCTAGTTTGTACCGGCATTACTATTTCACATTTTAACATGAAAAAGTAGTTATTGTGACATAACTATAATAGTTAAACATATGGTATCGCAGACGTTTTTATAGATATTGATATCCTCAATAAAACAATAGTTTCCGCAGCGTACGCGATATAAGGATTCTTTTTGGTATTTTTTTCACACCTTGGGTTACATTAACGAAGTTTTCATACGGATCCCTAACTTTTTGTAAATATTATATAGCCTATGTTCATCAGGGATAATGTAGGATTCTAATAGTGAAAGAATTTTTCAAATCGGTCCAGTAGTTTCGGAGCCTATTCAATTCAAACAAACAAACAAATCTTTCCTCTTTATAATAGTAGTGTAGATTAGCAATACTGTGGGTGAGGTGAGACAATACTATGTCCAGCAGTTGATTATTTACTGATGGTGATACTTGAAATGCAATTTCCCGGAAATGCAGGTTTATTACACTGTTGTCCTTAACAGTCAAGTACTTCGCAAATCAGCAATTTACATTGAAATCGGTACAGTGGCGGTGTAAGAATATCTCCACCTCGCCCCATAGGTATCGTAAGAGGCGACAGAGGGGAACAAATCGGGAAATGGGCAACGTCTTTCTACTAACAACAATAATAGATATAAAAAACTGGGGTTGCTAACCCACCTGCTTTGGCAATTATGCCCGTATGTCTATTAGGAGCCCTATGTTCATCAGTGGACTTTAATGGGCTGTCATGATGATCATGAATGGTAATAAACTTGAAATTACATTTTATAATTTTACTGGATTACTGGAGATAGTAGAATGTAGATTTTTGTAGACTAGAATCTAAATTCCTAATGAAAATTAATGTATTTCTCTAAAGGCTACAATGAACACTTACAATGTGTTACCAGACTTATTTATAAACCAATATTCACGTTTTCTTTATATGTTTTAATATTAGAAATACAAACTAAATAAATTATGACAAAAATATTCTGACATTTTCAGTGGATTTTATCTCTCGCATAAAATTGTAAACGTAGTGATTACATTCTCTTTGCATAAAATATAATAATCTATGATCCACAGAACACCTCTCGGCAAAGAGAACTCGGTCTCTCGGTAAAGAAATTGAGAGTAATTGTTCCATGGTTTCTATGAGTATCTATAAACGTATTATAGTGGTTATATTCTCTTTGGTTTCTATTGAAATTGTAACTAACAAAGAGTATATAACCAATTTCTACGTCTAAATCTTAATTTTAGCTGTCCAATGGTTTTAATAACTGTGTCCTAAATAAAAATCATTTTGTATTGTTTTTTGCTTTTTGTATTGTTTTTTTTTTCAATTAGGTAAGGGTGACAAACGAGCACACAGTCCACCTGATGGTAAGTGGTTGCTGTGGCCCATAGACATCTACATCTATACTCGATTACGAATCAAAATCCAGATGCGTTGTCAGCCGTGAGGACTAAGATGGAATGCCTCGTTTTCCAGTAAAAAGGGTCTCCGGTTCTCTACACTTACCTTACGAAACACAATAGTGTTGAGCTGCTATTTTACGTTGGTATTCTGTGAGAGCGTGGCCCTTTCCCGGTCGTGCCCACCCATTCGTGCTACAACTACATATACTACTAATATAGCTGCAGCATGGCTCTACCACGTAAAACGGTTTTTACTTTTTGTTAAAAGTTATAATTTTTTTTATTTAGAATTACTATGGTAGATTAGTCTTTATTTTATTATTATTAAGATTAAGAAATACTATACCTTAAAGATATTTTTTAGTAATCTTGGCTGTCACTTTGTTCTATGATCACTTTACAGTATGTGAACAAATTAATGTTAATAATGACTGATTACAACCAAGCACTACAATCTATGTCCAATCGAATACTGACATAACTCTGAAGTCTGTTATCTGAGCAATTGTCCTTGTCGTATCGCTCGATAGGAAATGAAGCTAAATTATTATAGTTCGAACGGACTAATTTTGTTTCATTCACTACGCGAACTCGCTAAAATAGTGAGTCATCAGTGCAACTGCACGGTAAAGGTGTATACACAGTGGAGTAAATATTCAAACAATCTATATTTTAAAAATAAAGTTTAATAGATAAAAATCTGTAATGCAGATTATGTAAAAAATTACAGACCAATCTCTATACTATCAGTCTTCGCTAAATTATTTGAGTCAATAATTTGTCTTTTTATTAAGAGACATATCAATCTTTACTTAACCACTAGCCAACATGGTTTCGTATAAATCTAGGTCCACGAGTACTAACTTGGTACATATTACGGAAACACTAATTGAAGCGCTTGATGCGGGAAAACAAGTCGACGTAATATATACCGATTTTAGCAAAGCGTTTGATCGGGTCCCACATGATATATTGATTCGAAAGTTAGCTGCCTATGGTATTACTGGTAGTTTGTTGAATTGGCTAAAATCATATTTAAATGACCGAGCGTTTTTTGTAGTAGTGAATGGATATCAGTCAGGCTTGAAAAACATTCATTGCAGTGCAAAGTAAATCGAATGGACTTAAACATTATTAAATATTTTTATGTGCAATATGCGAGAAAAAGTAATACCATCGATTATAGCTATCACTTTGGAGATAATAATATACAGCAGTTAGACCAAATTAGAGACCTAGGGGTTGTTTTCGATAAAAAATTAACTTTTGTGCCTCACATTGAAAACATTACTAAGCGTGCATCTAGGATGATGGGTTTTGTAATAAGAAATATCAAAGTCTTTCGAAGCTCTAAAATTAAAATTCTATTGTTTAACAGTTTGGTAAGAAGTATATTAGAATACTGTGCTGTAGTCTGGAGACCTCATTATGCTACACATTCACTGAGAATCGAGCGGATCTAAAAAAGATTCATAAGACATTTGACTTACGCGCGTGGGTTTAGAAGTTATAAGAAGCGTGTATCATATGAAAATAACTTGGTCTATTTCAAAATGATTTCTCTAGAAAACCGCAGGGATATTATTGATTTAATTTTTGCTTCGAAATTTATTAGTGGTGTTACTGACTGTTCCGAAATTTTAAGTAAATTTAATTTGTACGTTCTCTATCGCTATCCGCGTTTTGCTCGTAAGATTACACCGTTGACTAGACCTCATCGTAGAACAATGTTTGGCTCCAATTCTCCAATTGCTAGAATGAGTAAAATTGTTAACAAATTTAGCGAAACAATCGATATATTTTTCGACCCTCTTAACAAGCTCCGTCTCACTCTTAAGACCATTTCTTGTAATATTCTATAAAACATTTTCTTTTCTTTTCGCTCTTTGTATTATTATTACTGTATATCATTATTATAATTTTTTACCCTAGAAATAAAGTTATAGTACTGAGATAGTTATTAGCATGTGGTATCCGCCTGTAATTATTTGTACATTTTAGTTCTTATTGGTTCATTGTATTTAAATAGCATGTAAGGAATGATACAAATGTTGGTGGATCAATAAATAAATAAAAAATCTCAAATTACATTAAAGTCATTAATAATACATTTTAATCAGTATTACTGGAAACTTCGTTAATATTTATTATAAAAGAATTATGGACTTTTCTCCTTATAACACATTTATTTAATCCCCTTTTTATTATATTGTTTTCTGCCGACTTCCAAAAGGAGATGGTACTCAATTC